TATTTATGTAATCCAGAACGAGCCATCTGATGGAAGTCCTTATACAAATGCACATTTATAAATAAAGCCGTGGTCAAGAAACATCTGAAATCAGGAGCAGAACTGGAGGAGATGTTTACTGTGTATTCAGTAATACATTTGCAGAGTCAAACATGTGGTTATTTCCTTAGCATTCAACTGATTTCAGTCAAACCACAAATGGGGTGCCCAACGATGCCGTCTGAATAGCCTTGAGTATTGGCGTCCAAGCCAGTGGCACTCTGTTACATGACATTTAAAGTTCATCAATGGGTTACTAATGGATAAATAAGTTGACTTTGTCACACATACTATGAAAAACAAAAAACCTAACTCGGATTAGATCAATGGAAAAGGTGGCAAGTGCAGCAGAAAAGAGCCCTATTAATGGCCCTTAACTAGAGCTGGGCGTGGGCTCATAAAACTGAGCTCAAAAGGGCAAGCGTGAAGTATTCCTCTTTCCACTATGCTAACGACAGAACGCCTCACATCCACAGGGAAGCCCTGCCAGTCTGCCTGGAAGGTCAAAAACCTAAATAAACTGTCGTTTGAGAGCATGATCCATTTCCAAGGAAACCAAGTGGGCCATGCGGTCCTGAATTTGATATTCTAGTCTCGTTTTTCTTCCAGTGACTGAACAAATAAAGGCTGAGAGGTTAAAGCCGAGATGTGGAAACAATTTTTCAATTTTCCTAATCCCCTTGATCATTTTTGATGTTGTTTTTATTTATTTATTTGGGAGTATTTTTAGGTCGTAGTTATGAGAGGGAATTGATGACAGTTCGAGGAGGCGTCATTAAAGCTGGCCTCTCTTTTCTCAGAAAGCGAAGCGTGTCATTGTCTCAAGATGGTGTGAGCCTTCATCGTACATGCTAGCGCCAAACAGTATTCCATCACGTTACTGAATTCATGATTTCATCACACACCCACCCCCCTTCCAATTATGCCGTAAGTTGACTAACATTGCACCATAGCAACATTACAAGTCTGGTTTGGCCAAAAAATTTACGACTCATATTCTAATCACTGCCTAAATGAATCATTTTTTAAGCATTTCTGCTGATCCCCAACTGAATTCAAGTCAATATTTTGATACAAGTTGTGATTCTGTCTTTCCACCCTTCAAAAGCAGCGTTCCACTAGTCACTGTTTACAAAAGCAATGATTTCAGAAACCTACGATCTCTCTCACCCAATAGACTATCCACCATTGTTTCAGACTCTCTTCCTCCATCTCGCAAACTCACTGCACTTGATTCGAACAGTGCCACTAATACACTCTGCTCCACACTAGCATCATGTCTAGACCGATTATGTCCTCTTGCATCCAGGCCAGCCCGTGCCAGTCCTCCTGCACCCTGGCTCTCGGATGCTCTCCGTGAGCATCGCTCAAAACTTCGGGCTGCGGAGAGAATTTGGCGGAAAACTAAAAATCCTGCACATCTCTTAACATACCAAACTCTTCTGTCCTCTTTCTCAGCTGAGGTTACTTCTGCAAAGCAGACGTATTACCGTCTGAAAATCAACAATGCCACTAATCCTCGCCTACTTTTTAAAACATTTTCCTCCCTCCTCTATCCTCCTCCTCCACCCGCATCCTCCTCACTTACTACTGATGACTTTGCTACATTCTTCTGCACCAAAACTGCAAAAATCAGTGCTCAATTTGCTGCACCTACAACAAACACGCAAGATACAACACCAACACCACACACACTCACCTCTTTTTCTCAGCTCTCTGAGTCTGAGGTGTCCAAACTTGTGCTATCTAGCCATGCAACCACCTGTCCACTCGATCCCATTCCCTCTCATCTCTTGCAAGCCATCTCTCCTGCAGTCATACCAACACTGACTCACATAATTAACACATCTCTTGACTCTGGTTTATTCCCCACTACATTTAAGCAGGCTAGGGTAACCCCACTGCTAAAGAAACCCAACCTGGACCATACGCTACTTGAAAACTACAGACCAGTATCCCTGCTTCCATTCATGGCCAAGATTCTGGAGAAAGTAGTGTTCAATCAAGTCCTGGACTTTCTTACTCAAAACAATCTCATGGACAACAAGCAATCCGGCTTTAAGAAAGGCCACTCAACTGAGACTGCCCTGCTCTCGGTCGTGGAGGATCTCAGACTGGCTAAAGCAGACTCTAAATCATCAGTCCTCATTTTGCTGGACTTGTCAGCTGCTTTTGACACTGTCAACCACCAGATCCTGCTATCTACGCTTGAGTCACTGGGCGTTGCGGGCACTGTTATACAATGGTTCAGATCTTACCTCTCTGACAGGTCATTCAGGGTGTCTTGGAGGGGAGAGGTGTCCAACCTACAGCATCTAAACACTGGGGTACCTCAAGGCTCTGTTCTTGGGCCACTTCTCTTCTCCATCTACACATCATCTCTAGGACCAGTCATCCAGAGACATGGATTCTCCTACCACTGCTATGCTGATGATACCCAGCTATACCTCTCTTTTCATCCTGATGATCCCTCGGTTCCAGCTCGTATCTCAGCCTGCCTGTTGGATATTTCACACTGGATGAAAGATCATCATCTTCAGCTGAACCTCGCAAAAACGGAAATGCTTGTAGTTTCTGCCAACCCGACTCTACACCATAACTTTTCAATCCAGATGGATGGGGCAACCATTACTGCATCAAAAATGGTGAAAAGCCTTGGAGTAACGATTGATGACCAACTAAACTTCTCTGACCACATTTCTAGAACTGCTCGATCGTGCAGATTTGCACTCTATAACATCAGAAAGATCCGACCCTTCTTATCTGAACATGCAGCTCAACTCCTTGTTCAAGCTCTTGTTCTCTCCAAACTGGATTACTGCAACTCTCTACTAGCTGGGCTTCCAGCTAACTCTATCAAGCCTCTTCAACTGCTCCAGAATGCAGCAGCACGAGTTGTCTTCAATGAACCTAAACGAGCACATGTCACTCCGCTGCTAGTCCGTTTGCACTGGCTGCCAGTTGCTGCTCGCATCAAATTCAAAACTCTGATGTTTGCCTACAAAGTGACTTCTGGCCTAGCACCTTCTTATCTGCACTCACTCCTGCAGATCTATGTGCCCTCCAGAAACTTGCGTTCTGTGAATGAACGTCGCCTCGTGGTTCCATCCCAAAGAGGAAAAAAATCACTTTCGCGAACGCTCACGCTCAATCTGCCCAGTTGGTGGAATGAACTCCCTAACTGCATCAGAACAGCAGAGTCACTCGCTATTTTCAAGAAACGACTAAAAACTCAACTATTTAGTCTCCACTTCACTTCCTAATCTGCAATTGCCTATTTGAATATCACACTAACTGTACAAAAAAAAAAAAAAAAAAAAAAAAAAAAAAAAAAAAAATTACTAACACTTCCCTTCTTAGACTTTACAGACCTGAAACTTGCCTTTAGTACTTATTCATTGTTGCTCTTAGTGGTGTAAATTGCTTCCTTGTCCTCATTTGTAAGTCGCTTTGGATAAAAGCGTCTGCTAAATGACTAAATGTAAATGTAAATGTAAATTTCTTACAGCGCAGACACTGTGTCCCGATGGCAATACCATGGCCCAGACATTTTAATGGACAGGATGTGATTGCTGTTTCACAACCTGAATCCCACCTAAATTGCACCAATAAAGGAAAACTACCCCTGAAGACCTTATAAAGTGGCGCGTATGCTCAGAAGAGCTTAACCTTGCCATGACAGCATACTCTAGTTCATACTCTAACAGGGCTCTAAAGGACGCCTGGAGAAACCTAAGCTATGTGACCAATGAGCTACTGACTACAAGCCAAGATCACTAACATCGTTACAGACAACAAAAACGAGTGTATTCATAGCTAAAACGCAGTGGTTCTTAGCTTTTTCACAGCCTTATTTACAATGATATTTAAAGGTCCAAGAACCATATACACACACACACACACACACACACACACACACACACACACACACACATACATATATATATACATAAATACAATTGAATTGAGAAATATTAGCCCCCTGAATTATTAGGTCCCTTATTTATTTTTTACCCTGTGTTTTGTTTAACACAGAGAAGATTTTTTTCAACACATTTCTAAACATAACAGCTTTCATAACTAATTTCTAATAACTGATTTATTTTATCTTTGCCATGATGACAGTAAATAATATTTCACTAGATATTTTTCAAGACACTTCTATACAGCTTACAGTGACATTTAAAGGCTTAACTTGGTTAATTAGGGTAACTAGGCAGGTTAGGGTAATTAGGCAAGTTATTGTATAATGATGTTTTTTTCTGTAGACTATCGAAAAAAACATTTTGACTAAAGGGGCTAATAATTTTGTCCTTAAAATGGTTTTTAAAATATAAAAAACTGATTTTATTTTAGTCAAAATAAAACAAAAAAGACTTTCTCCAGAAGAAAAAATATTATCAGACATACTGTGAAAATTTCTTTGCTCTGTTAAACATCATTTGATAAATATTTATCAAAGAGAAAATAATTCAAAGGGGGGCTAATAATTCTGAATTCAACTGTATGTATATTCATTCATTCATTTTCTTGTCGGCTTAGTCCCTTTATTAATCTGGGGTCGCCACAGCAGAATGAACCGCCAACTTATCCAGCAAGTTTTTACGCAGCAGACGCCCTTCCAGCCACAACCTATCTCTGGGAAACTATATATATATATATATATTCAACTTCTATTTGACTTATTACTTTATAACATTTATAACAATGTTTTTGAACAAGCGTGAATAATGTAAATTAATACAAAATTTGTTTTTAACAGTTTAGGCAAATTTAAGTTCTATTTAAAAAATATTAGAAGTCAGACTTTCACAAAGGATCCCAGCTTAAAAATGACTGCTATGACACCTGTATAACATCTGACATCAACACGTTCCCTAATTAACAATGCATACAATTGCAATAATCAGAAAAAATAAGGAATCCGTTGACAACTGAGATTTAAAAAAGAGTGATCCTACCTGTCCAGGGATTAGAGGCTCCTTGTCATCAATATCAACCAGAACATCATCTCTAGGTGTGTGAGCAATAACTTCTGTTGATGAAGATGTACCATACATACTGTAAGTATAATGTTTTATCCACATAATCAGACAAATTCACTTGAGAACGGTTTATCAAAAATGTAATTTGAATGTTTTTAAGTTGACTTGATTCTGTTCTCATATCTCTCAAAACTCTCAAAATAAATCTACATTTCCACATTATGACAGATAGCTGGCGTTAAAAGTGTTATGTTACGTGCATTCTAAATCAAAAAGTCAAAACCCAAAGTGTGGATTTTTTTAGACAGTCCATTACCAACTTTCCCTCCATTTTCCAATTAAAAAGTAACTGGAAAAATTTGGGGGGTAGATTGGCACATTTGGCAGAGGCAATTTACAGTCCATTAAAGGTACAATTTCTAACTTTAATTTTTAATTTTATTCCTTCCCAGAAGTGTGTAATATGCAGCTGTGTACTTCGTAAACAAAGTATCAAAATATCGCTGAGTTTCTAAAGTGAAAATTGAATTTCTGGATAATCTCACACAGCTTTTTGATAGGGAGGTGAACTCTACTTCCTCTCCATGAAATGGATTGGAAGAACACAATATTTACTCTTTCTTTTTTTGAAGGAAGTGGAGAACAAAATCATCACTGCTCAAATTATTTTGTAAGTCAGATTCAGGTTAGAGGACAGGTTGGCTGAAATTCACCCACATTTGGCAGGTGTTAATGTGAAGCCCTTCTATACAGAATACACACATCTCTGAATGTATTAGTTGTGTTTACAGTATTTCAAAAGTTTCCAGATGTGCAGTTAAGAACAATACAATTTCCTTATTTTCTCCTTACCAAATTCCTCTTCTGTTGAGTCTCTCTCCAGACTTTCCGGCTGGAAGTAGAACTCATTGAGCGAGTGGACTGAACACTGGCCCACCACAGGCTTCCTGCCAAACTGCCGGTTGTCTATAACCTTGATCACCAATGGGGGCATGTAGAGCTCTTCCTTAGGCAATCGCTGAAGAGAGTGCAGAAATGTGAACAATAAAAAAAGAGTGACGCAAGGCTTTCAAACTTTTAACTTGCAACAAAATGACATGTTTACTTCTTCACTTCAGTTGTAATTCCAAAGAACCTTCCTTTTCCCTTCCTTTCGTCCTTTGTGAAAGTATTTCACACCCTAAACTGAGGCAAACATGACACAGGACTGACCAGGACTGACAGTGCAAATAACTTTCCCAGTCTTTCAGCATTCTTTCCACGCAATGCCTCCCAGTCGTAGATGAGTACTGGAACCGAATCCAGACTATCTTACGCTTTAGAATTAAGAACTGACGCTCATTGCTGGGGAACATTGTTAACTGTGCCAGTCATCACTCATGAAACATCCACCAAGCGAAGGACACCATGACCACATTGTATATAAGTCTGTCACAACTGGTTAGCGGCATGCTGTAACAACACATTTTATATCTTCACAAAGAAACTTCTGAACAGGGCTTAGCCAAAGGTCAACCGTATTTACCATTAACCATTGATTGCTACAAAGAATTTTTGCATCTGTGACAAACTCACATAGAACTATCTGACTTATTAAAACTGTGTTGGTAAACATAAACAAAAGCAAGATCTGGAGCTTACGACATCAATGAACAGGATGTTGACGTCAAAATTAGGGTTCTTCTTAATATTTCGAATGACGCACGACTGAACCACAGATCCGCCACATTCCACCTGAAGACTGGGAGACGTGACACTGGCCAGCTGGAAACTCTTCAGGTTACGCAAACCCCATGCCAGTATCTAAGAGTTTCAAGGTTAAAAGGTCACATGAGGCGCAATGAGGTTTTGTATGATGTAAACACTCTAAATAATAAGATTAACTGTGGGTTAGATTTGGACTCACCTCAATAGCAGTGCGCTGTAGGACAGGTTTTATCCCCTGTGGCACCATGTAGACGTTTGGCTCCCTCTGAGGTGGTGGATAGGGCAAATCAGAGTCCTCTGGCTAAGAATAAAAGATAAATGAAAGGAACATATTTTTACCATTATCTAAATTAAACTTAAATCATTTGGTAAGATTTTAAAATAAGGTTTTATTTGTGACATTGGTAATTGGTATTGGTAATTGGTACCAATTAGTAATTTTAAAGCATTTATTGATGTTTCTTTTTATGTTCGTATATAGTGCATTGGCAATTGATAACATCTGATCTAGAGCGTTTATGTGAATGGTGAGATTAACTATTAGGAACAATTAAAGATTAGTTGTTTTTTTCCATTGTTGGTAGGTGTGTCAGCAAATAAATCATTATTGTAAAATATTACTAAACCTATTTGTTAATTTAACCCTACTTTTGACTTAAGGATCAAAAATGACCTGGCACAATTAAAAAAAAAAGTTTAAAGTTTCTTGGAGTATCTTGAAGTTTGGTCACTTTCTAAAATTGCCCCAACATTAGAAAAAAAACAACTAGAAACACACACAACACCATGCTGCTTTAAAATGTATGAATACTGTCTGGCTAAAAAAGTTTTATGCAGGTACTTTTAATCTATAAATATATATATTTTTAAATATCCTTTACTTTTTGTCAAAAAGGAGTCCCCTGATTAAACAGAAATGCCAGCACTCTGACTAATAATTGATTAAATACTCCACACTGATGAGGGAAAACCAAGATATTCAGAGCTTGAGTTGAAGATGAGGTTGTTTCTTCATGCAAAATAGAGTTGAGGATTTAAATTAAATTTAGCTGCTTTATTAAAAAATGTAGTGAACAACAGGACACTAGGAGGGTTAAAAAAAAAAAGGTTTAAATGTTCCGCTGGCAAATATTCCGCTGGTTTCAGTAGCAGTATTATGTTTAGTTCACCACCTTGGTTAACAAAAAATAAATAAATAAATAAATAAATAAAATACTTCCATGCCATTTTCTTTTATCTTCATGTTTAAGATACATCACACACCAATTATTAGTATTTTGTAAATAAAAATGTGTTAACATTAGTTAACCCTCTAGGGTCTGAGGTGATTTGGGGGCCATTAAGATGTTTTGACATACCCTGACATTTGTGCTTATTTCAGCTACTTATTACATAGTATTGGCAAACATGTATTTTTTGTATTCAGCACAAACTGTGCTACAATTATATGTGAGAAATATTGCTGTACATACTTGCTTTTTTCAGAAAAAAAAATATGCGTGGTTAGTAGGTGTTGGAGAAAAAATGTAGCTAAAATATAACCACACTGAATGGGCCTGAACAAGAGAAACTAGTCTTTTAGGCTAGAGTATTTACTTTACAATTACGTTCTCTTATTGAAATAAAGCATTACAATGATTTACATTTCGCAAAGTCTGTTTTGGGTCAGAATACTGTATGCGAGGGAGTGGCAATGGTCATGAATAATTTACACCTGGAGAGACAAAAGACACTCCCCCACTGGCTAATGTTCACCCATTGAGGGCATTGTAAAGCAATATCCAGCTGCAAAACTAAAAGCTTGTTGTATTGCTTGCTGTTATGGCCATGTAAACACTATGGGTAAACAATATGCACTTATATAGCATTCACAAAAAATATATCTAAAATGGTATAAAACGTATTTGTAAAACTGTTTTAAAAAACTTTATTGTACATTAATGAGCAAACACAAACTATTTTTTATTAATTAAAACCATAAAAAGCTAATAAATGCTTTAAAAGTACATTGTCAATAGTTCATTTTAACTAGTGCATAACCTAAATGTTCAAGTGTGTACAAATTCTGTCTTTTTTATCAAGAAAAGATGTGAGAAACTACATTCTGCTTCACATAACTGCAAAGGACGCATTGTACATTTAGACCAAACCACACAAACACTGTTCTTTCTTCCCTATAAGCACAACATTTGCATGACACTCCTAAATTCAAAAACGGGTGTGAAAACAAACAAGGAATTGGTTACTAACAGCATCAACAAAAAGTCAAAGATCATAACTACACATGCCAATCAAAGTTAGAAATCGCACCACAGCACACGCACATGCACACAATGTTTAGCCTGGACTGCATAGTGCCAGTGCAATTGTTCGATGAATGGCACTACTGTTGAATACAATAGTGCTCTGTGCTTTGGAGATATGTTTCAGTCATGGAGAATTAGCTTATGTAATGTCTAACTTCATGAAGTGAAGGCAAGGATTTAAAAGAGCGTCGTAAAAACGGACACACCTTTAAATTGCTAATCTGTCCAAAAATTAGAATAATTCCCAATAATTACACTAATTCAATGTGCACAAGCCTTTAAATACAAACATAATATCTTAGAATGACTGTATTCTAAGGTTGAGTAAAACTTAAATGTTAATAAGATGCAACATTTACGTTTTTGCATCAGCAACATATATTGCATTCAAGATAAACAATCAATCAGTTAATGTAGCGGTTCCCAAAGTGGAGGTTGGGGTTGTGTATCTGGGTCTCCACTTTTACTATGGCCTCTTTTGGCTTTAACAAACTTATCCCTCAGATTTTTCCAAACTTTTTAACAAAAAAAAGTTGCAATTTCTAGCCAAGAATTATTGGTCATCTGGTTATGATCATGGATCATAAAGATGTCTGTACAGACGTACCTGTTTCAGACTAAATTTCTTCAAAGTAATTCATATTCAACTCAAATCAAACACAGCATTGAATGCACTGTTCACTCAAGTCTCAAAAAAAAAGCATGCCCTCCACCAGCCTAAATCATGTCATACGCACCCAAAGCAAACCTCCGCAAACACAGCGATGACATCATATTCACTGCATGCACTCAAGCGAACTAGCAGACGCGTCGAGTATAAACCAGGCTTGATTTTCAGAAATCGAATTTGTTATTTAACTATTAGAAACGCATATTTCATCCATAACCTACAGAAGATAAAATAGTATTTAATTGTTACATAAAAAGGTAACATGCAAATAAAAAGCAAATAGATTTTTTTCCCTTTATTGTGGCTCCTGGTGTGTTTATATTTTATTAATGACAGCAATAGCGTGAGTTGCAGCAGATTGATTTCATAGCTCCATGGTAAACATTGACACCTCTGTAGAACTCGCATACATTAAATCTTTTTTTAAGGTTTTTAAAAATCATACTGAACATGGAAGATATCTCCACTGAACATCTCCAAGTGGCGTTCTCAAAAATTAAACTAAGAATAGACTAGTGCAGTAAACATTGTGCCCAACACCAGTCTCATTGGATGAGGTTAATAGTAAAGTAAACAAATCAATAAATGACAAAATAAAACTAAATGGTTGTTAGACTGTTGCACTTTTTTGGGGTGTTGTTAATATGCTTGTGTTTATATAGACCTATTGGTGTGTGTGGACTGTTGTGAGTTTTATAACCACCTTCAAGTATAGTGGGGGTTGCGAGTCACTGGATTTGTTATTTTGGGGGGCACGGGCTGAAAAGTTTGGGAACCCCTGAGTTAATGCAGTAGATATTTAAATGCCTGCTATATTTACATAATTTACTAAACTGAATATTTATAATAGGGTGGCATGGTGGCTCAGTGGTTAGCATTGTCACCTCACAGCAAGAAGGTCGCTGGTTTAAGTCCTGGCTGGGACCAGGTGACATTTCTGTATGGAGTTTGCATGTTTTCCCCATGTTCGCTTGGGTTTTCTCAGGGTGCTCCAGTTTCCTCCACAGTACAAAGACATGCCAAATAGGTCAATTGAAAAAAGGTGAAATTAAATTGGCCGTAGTGTATGAGTCTGTGTGTGAATTGGTGTTTCCCAGTATTGGGTGGCGACTGGAAGGGCATCTGCTGTGTAAAACATGTGCTGGAATAGCTTGCAGTTCATTCCGCTGTGACGACCCCTAATAAATCAAGGACTAAGCCGAAGGAAAATGAATGAATAAGTGAATATTTATAATAATAGTAATTTTTTTTTCTTCACAATATAATGCTGTGATACCAAAATTGACTTTTGGCATTTAAAATGATTTTTAAAAAAAATTTAACTTTAATCGAATATTTAATTATAAAACAGTACAGAATTTTAATATTGGTCATTTAATATTGGCAAATCCCTAAATCTTAATAATACTACGGTGTTATTTCCAGCAAAACAAAGACAGAAAGGTGAAGTACAGGGTGTAAGGAAAAGACCTTGAACATTCATATTCAGTGCCATATTTGCAACGCATTGCCAATGTTTCCTTTATTATTGGCGACACAGAGCAAATGCACTAGTCCAGTGTTTATGTCCCTAGTGTGTCTGTATCTAATGAAGAGCAGTTATTATGCGGTCTAATAGCAGCACGTCAGTTCCACCATTAGCCCATCACTTTGTTCCTTTTTTTTAAAAATGCCACTAAAGAACAATATAAATCTTTGTGCAATTGCAGCTGTATGGTGTAGATAGAAGAGCTGGGAATAAAGCCGAATCGGGGCTCTCAATTTCCAAGTCACCTCCCACAAGATCTCGTCCTTGGCAGGCCAAATAAAAATTAAGGAGGTGCATAGAAGCACACAGAGTCCTGGATGAATCTACCCACCAGGAATAAAGTAAAAACAATCTAGATCTAACACCCCATGTCTACAAGCCTAATGAAAACCAGCGGGAATGACTTTTTTGGAGCTACAGTAATTATATTGGTTCCAGCTCAGTGTCTTCCATATTGAATTGTGTTGGCCACTAGGAAGATGGTGAGGATTTTTGTAAGACTTACAGTAGTTCTGGTTTAGTGTGGTGGAACCACATGGCCTTCTATTGTGTTTTATTACAGCCAATTCACACTGCAAGAAACAACACAGACAATCTGCAATCTAACAAGTACAGACTGAAAGTGCAAAAATAAACAAATGGCAACCAATGACAACATTAAACAATGAAGTAACTTAATATCTGAAAAGACCTAATAATGGGGTTGTTGCTGTTGGTCCATGTTTGTTGCTGACGTGTGAATTGACTGCTATTTATAGCCAGGTTGTAGTCATATCAAATTCATTAATTTTCCTTCGACTTAGTCCCTTCATTTATCAGGGGTCGCCACAACAGAATGAACCGAATGTTTTATACAAGTGCATGCTCTTCCAGCTGCAACCCAGTACTGGGAAACATCCATACACACTCATTCACACTCATACTCTACAGTCAATTTAATATATTCAATTTACCTGTACTGCATGTCTTTGGACTGGAGAACATGCAAACTCCACACAGAAATGCCAACTGACCCAGCCGGGACTTATGTGTCACCCCATTTCAAATTTGGACATGCAAAAAGTTGTATGCACACATTCAACAATACATCCAAAATGTAAAAAAATTACTTTCTGGACATTTTATAATGCTTTGTGTCCATTCACGTTTTCAGTGGTGCTGATTCTGGAAGTATTTTTACGATTTAGCTTTCAATATGGATTATTATAAACCAGGAGCTCCTAATCCTGTTCCTGAAGATCTACCTTTTGCAGAGTTTAGCTGCAATCTTGATTAAATGCACTCTTTCAGTTCTCTTTCAGATCATACTTAGTTGGTTTTTGATCAGATTTGGAGCTGAACTCTACAGGAAGGTAGATCTCCAAGAACAGGATTGGGCACCACTGAAAACATTAAGGGCTCTATTTTGATGGTCCATGTGCAGAGCGCAAAACGCAGGGCGCAAATGATTTAAGGGCGTGTCAAGACGCATTTTTGCTAATTTAAGGACGGGAAATCTGCCTTGCGCCAAGGCGCATGGTCTAAAAGGGTTGAGTTTATTTTCTTAATGAGTTATAGGTGTGTTTTGAGAATAAACCAATTAGAGTCTCATCTCCCATTCCCTTTAAGAGTCAGCTGCATCGCGCCAAGAGCGCATTCGCTATTTACAGGACGCAAAGTAAGTCTAAGTGGAAAAAATTTGCATTTCACAAGCAAACAGTTAACAGTTTTTTTAACAGAAAACTGTTAAACAGAGCATCTACTGCGTGAGAATGAGAGATAATGGAACTACTTTCACATTCGCTCTTGGATAGAGAAACCTTTACGCACAGACATCAATTAGTCTATAAATAAATACTTTTGTTTGTTAAGCGCAAATATTCGTTTCAAAACTATTTCTAAATTTAGTTCTAATTTCCAGCAAACAAATAAATGAATAATAATAGCAAAATGTGCTCAAAAACCTGAGTTATATCCTAAAATACATGATGTGCCCCTTTTGGTCTAAAACCTGACAGGTGGGCAAATCTAAGCTTGTTTTTAATAAAACAAATATAAATATTGATATAATAAATAATACTGCTAATAATAATAACATTATACAAAAGCCTCCTGAGATGAAGAAGACATAAAAGCAGTGGTTTTTCATATTTATGTAGGCTAGAAAACAATGTTTTGTAATATTTTAATCCTTTATATTTATATTCTATATCTATTCTTATTATATCCTATATATATCCTTAATATAAAAATTTTTTCATATGTAAAGATATTTTCCTTTTGCTCTCTTGTGCATATTAAGCAGTGCGTAAGTGAGGCGCAACTCTGCGCCGGAGTTTAGACCGGGTTAGTTTTGGTCTAATTAAAAAATCTATTATAGTTTTGCAAAATAGCAACGCGCCAGCGTCCGCCTCAGAACGCATCCCTTTTTAGACCAGAACGCTTATGGGCGCACAAATGAGCGCTAATGCATTTGCTATTTAAACAGCAAAGCGCAATGCCTCAAAACCACTCTTGCGCCAAGCTGAAACTACCAAAAGACTACTGCGCCGCATCTTGTGCCACACTGCGCCGGGTGTATGATAGGGCCCTGAGTTGAAAGAAGGGTGAGATAGAATCTGCTGACATTTTTTGCTATTTATGCGGATAAGTTAAGTTATCTGTTGGCTATCTATAAGGCACAGTTATAAATAATTAACAAACTATTAACTTTTATTTAACAAGCCATTTATAACTCATAACTAACAGTTTATTAAGGGACTATTAACTAGTTAAAAAGGACAGTTATAAATAATTAAACTATTAACTATTATTTAACAAGCAATTTATATGTCATTAACTAACAGCTCATTAATGATCTATAAACTAGTCATAACGGATAGTTATTATAAAGTGTTATCAAATGGTTAGACTTTAATTACATTACAACATCAATGCTGAAAAAAAAAACCTTATGAAATTCAAAATAGTCATATCAACCTTTTGCCAGAAGATTATCGGTGGCTAAAAACACTAGATGTGCATTAATGCAAAGCTGAGGGCTTTATAAAACTATAAATAAATGAACAATAAAAAAACAATACATGACTGATTAAAAACTTCAGAGCTCACAGCAGATATATTTGCGATCAGTTATGGTTAATATTCCAATGGAGAGAATAAACTGAGGTTTTAATTTGTCGAACCACTGTCTATTGCCCACGTCTTCACAAATTTGTAGATCTCTGGTACAGTAAGAAGCTTGCCCTTTTTTTTTTTTTTTCTTGCATTCACATGCATTTGGAAATAAACGGATCAAAAAGTGTATGAGATTTTAGATATGTTCGTGTGTGCGTGCTGAATTGTACCCATTGCTGTTGATTCTCAGAGAGGAACCCTGGAAGCACAAGCTTGAAGATTCCCAAAATAAACAGAGAGGGAGAAATGAACAAGGGAACAGGAAGGAGATGCTCTGAGACAATTGCAAATAAGATAAATGGTCTTTTAGCTGAACCAACTCTACCAACACCTACCTCATCCATGATATGTGAGGGTGGTATAATATCTCCCTGGGGAGAAGAAGAAAGAAGACTTTCAAAATCAAATAAATAAAGTGGTACGGTGTGGGCATTTGTTTGTGTGTGCGCGTGGGTGGGTGGTTTGACTGTTCTCTAAGGCTTCGCTTTAATTCAATTTCCCTGTGATTATCCCACTCTAACAGATGCCAGCTGGAAAGATCTGGACTGGGTGGAGCCTCTGGCACTCTTAAACTCCACTGGCATCTCCAATCAGTCTGCTTTGCTGTCTGCATTGGCCAGACAGGGCCGTTCGACTGAACTGAAAATGCCAGTCTCCAAACAGTAAAACGGCTTCAGATACACTGATGTTTATATCATTTACAGCAGCTCTATCCAATTACTCAGTTGTGCCTGACTGAGGAAACAAGGAGCAGCAGTGATTTGGTGGGGGACAGGAAGCGTGTGTGTGTGTATGTTTGTTTATGCATGTAGAAAAAGGCTGGATGCCTAAAAGAAATATGACTAACCTCTTGACCCGGGATGTGATGAACTGCAGGCTGAGGTGAAAGAATGAAATGAACACATTATTTCACACATCGATGTGCACACAGACTCACTACACAAGTGGTTTGGAGTTTTAAATCATATGTCGTCAGGCGCTATGCATACAAATACAGCCGTGTGGGCGAGGAAGCCACTAAACTTCCTCTGCGGTGCTGGAGAAGCTGTGATATGTGCCATGTAAACACTTGTGGGTTAAACTCATAACAAAAGCATCTCTTTCGACAGAGATGCTGCAGACAACCGCTGAACTACAATTCCACAGCATCATCATAGAGGGTACTGTAATTATAATATAGGGCTGCACAGTAATATCGTTTCAGCATCAATATCGCCATGTGATCATACGGACTAGTCACATCGCAAGATACAGTATGCAATGTTGGGTTTGTATTATAATTTATCAATGCAAGTGCTTTTGAGGCCTGTGAATGTATAATCCTTTTAAAAATCATTCAGAAATAAGAAATTGTACCCTTTGTAACATTTAATAACGATTAATTCTTATTTTTATCAATTAATTACTGTACCTGAACACTGTTAGACTTGGAAAATGATGAAAAACTGTTTATTTCAATTGTCTTTTTTATTGTGTTTATCTAAACTTGTACACTACCTGACAAAGGTCTTGTCATAGAACCCAGTTGTAAGAGCAACAAATAATGACTTGCCTTCTAGTTGATCATTTGGAAAAGTGGCAGAAGGTAGATTTTTCTGATGAATCATCTGTTGAACTGCATCCCAATCATCAAAAAATACTGAAGAAGACCTAGTGGAACCCGCATGGACCCAAGATTCTCATAGAAATCAGTCAAGTTTGGTGAAGGGAAATCATGTTTTGGAGTATTGGGGTGTGTGAGAAATCTGCAGAGTGGATGGCAACATCAACAGCCTGAGGTATCAAGACATTTGTGTTCCCCATCACATTACAAACCACAGTAGAGGGAAAGTTTTTCAGCAGGATAGCACTTCTGCTCAAACTTCAGCCTTAACATCAAAGTTCCTGAAAGCAAAGAAGGTCAAGGTGCCACAGGATTGGCCAGCCCAGTCACCAGACATGAACATTATTGAGCATGTCTTGGGTAAGATGAAGGAGGAGGTAATTGAAGATAAATCCAAAGAATGTTGATGAACTCTGGGAGTCCTGCAAGAACGCTTTCTTTGCCATTCCAGATGACTTTATTAATAAGTTATTTGAGTCATTGCAGAGATGTATGGATGCAGTCCTTCAAGCTCATGGAAGTCATCCTCAATTTTGTTCTTTTTCCACTGCACCATGACTTTGTTTTATACTGTACATTATTTCTTTTAAGAAACAAGACTCTTGCCTAAGCAAAGTCAGACATAATCAAAAGGCCTTTGCATTTCATATAAGACACTTCTGATACCAAATGATCAACTAGAAGTCAAGTTATTATTTGTTGAATAAGACAAAACTTGGATAGGCAACAAGACTTTTGTCAGGTAATGTAGATGTTTATTATATTGTATGCAGATGCACTTCTCTGCAGAATCATCCAAATCAATCTAAAAGTATCAATTCTTTGCAAATAGAAAATAAATTCAAGTCATCTGCTGAAATTCTATTTATTTAATATTATATATAGCAGAATAACAAAATATCACAAAGTTAGATTTTTCCAACATCGTACAGCCCTATTAAGGTGGTGGCCCTGTTTCAAAGTAGACTGTAAAAAAAGAAATGAAAATAAAAGGTTTGATAAAAACTGTGTAGGGATGTTAATAATTGAGATGACTCTTACTTTATCTCTGCGGATCAGTTCAAAAGCAGCAAGCAGATCTCCTGCAGAATTCCCTGCTTTCTGGATGGGATACCAGGCGAGGCGAGGGGAAGATGCCATTGATGGTTGGCAAACACAGCGGCCCATGAACTCATCAGCTCCCTGCAGAGGTCAAATACCTTGAGCATTTCTGTTTCAAAGACAAGCCTATTTGACATAGTATTTCAGACTAGATTAACAGAATAGTATTACTGTTTTTAAGTGGGATTTTTAGTCAAATACTTTCCAGCATTGTGCTACTGTAGGTGTTGCTTTAGATAGAAGAAAGCAAACTTAAAAGTAGAGAATTTAATTTTAGAGAATAAACTGCTGTTTTCAGTTGTATTCAATGTTTTTTCTATAATTATTTACATACTGTTAATAGTAAGTGCTAACACATCAATCTATTTTTAAGTTTCATTGAATTTTAGCAATTTTGTTATTGACATTTATATTTATTTTTTATAAATACTCTATTTTTCAATAGCAATTTACAAAAAAACATGAGTTTTTATTTTTATAATTATAAAAAATACACAAACACCCATATAAGGGAGAAATATTTATTTTATATTTATACATTTATATTGTTTTTATTTATTTATATTTTATATATTTATTTATATCTAGATATAAATTTTATATGCATACGATGCAAATTCTACATTTAATATATTAAAATAATATTATGTTTTATATATTATCAAATAATATTATGTCAGAAAAAACTTTTATTTTAGATGTGATTAATTGCAATTAATCTTTGCTCAGCACTAATTCATTTATGTTATAATATCTACATTTTTATTTGTTTAGATTTAGTTCAAGCTACAATTATAATAGTTTTAACATATGGAAATATACATTATTAAATACAACTACTAAGAAACAAACTTGCTATAAAGTGAGTTTGATATGCATTAAATAATCTCTCCCTGACAAAGTTACAACTTGTATAAGCACCAGACTTCACATCTGGCTAGACAAAAAGACAAAAAAAAAAATCTATATTCTTATTTGTGTATGATTTGTTTCAATCAACAATTATAATAGTTTTAATATATGGGATTATACATTAATAAATACGACTGCTCAGAAACAGACTTGCTATAAAGTGACTGATATCCATTAAATAATCTCTCCCTGACAATGTTGGCAGTTTCTGAACAAGCTGTAAAAGAAACCAGACTTCACATCTGGCTACACAAAAAAACAACAACAACAAAAATCCATATTGTAATTTGTGTAGATTTATTTTGCTCAACAATTATAAGTTTTAATATATAGGATTATCCATTAATAACTATGACTGCTCAGAAACAGACTTGCTATAAAGTGACTTTGATATTCATCAAATAATCTCTCCCTGACAATGCTGGCAGGTACTGAACAAACTGTAAAAGGCACCAGGCTTCACATCTGGCTACACGAAAAAGACTGACCTGACATCAAGCACAGCCGTTTATAAATCAACAGATACCAACACAACAAAAACGCACATAGGTGTCCTGATCGTACAGCTCCACCACAATGTTTGGAGGGCTCCTCTCAGTCACAAGATGGTCTCCAAAAATTTCCACTTCGTAGAAAATGAGGGTCTGGTCCCAGGTGGGGTTGAGTGTGTTTCGAACAGTCACCGTCTTCTGACTCTGATGAAGGAACGATACAACGGCATAGGCATCTATGCAAAAAGAAAAGGATCAAAGGTCACTGAATGGCATCGAAATTTTGTGTCAAGATGAGTAATGACGTATGGCATGAATTGTGAGTTCACATTGAAAAATCATTGGCAATGCGCACTTCAATACTGTCAAAAAAGAAGATTAAACTGTCAACTAAAACAAGAAACACTGCACCAGGTCAGATGCCACAATTTTTTGCCACATTGATGAATAAATGAAATGGAAAGAACTGCATCAAGAGTTGGGAAAGACGCAGAGCCATCAACTCACTAAAAGTCTGTTTGCCATCAAGACTTGGGCAATGATTTGGTACGTTCTCCTCAGAACAAGACTTTCAACGCATCAGTAAACACAATAAACATCAGTATTTTCTGTTTTTATTTGGTGTGGTAATGAGAGGGACTTTGCCAATAAGAAAACATCAATTATGGAAGTGAAAAGAACCAGAGATATCCTGAATTGCGACGCAGGGAGGGTGAGACCATTTTTGAACTTTAGCAGGTCTATGTAATGTCTGAAAGATGATGTGTGGTGGAGAGACAGAGAGGGAAGAACGATGAGTGAGTGAGCGAATGCATATGCATGTGCACGTGTGGGTGTTGTGTGTGATTGAGTGTTTTAAAGTGATAGTTCACACCCCAAAATTGTATTCTGTTATTTGTTAGTTCAATTCTTTATGTGCTGTAGTTGTTATCTATGAAATCATAAAGAGCGCTGTTCTGCATAATGATAAATGTTGATGTATAGTAAGGTGTGCTCTAATCTAACTCATACAATAGCTTTGAAAAAGAGGTACATACTGAAATTTAAATGCGCATCCTAATAGATATTTATTTCCACTTTAATGTCATCATTTTTGTTCGGTTCATGTAAACAGCATATATTTAAAACTGAACTTTATATATTTTAACTATATTCATGCAAGATGTCCGATTCTTTGTTATAGACTTTAATTGAAGGCATTTAAAAAATGTATTAAACTGAATTATTTTAGCAATTTTTATGCTTGCTTATAAAGCAAATACATGCTTATTTTTCTTGTTTTCTTCTTTTGAACACTGTAGGACAAAATAGCTGTGCTGATATAGACATCAGAGGTTTATTATGCATATACTGAGAAATGTGCATGCGTGCAAGTATAGTTTTGATTTTCAGGTAACCTTGCACAAAAATAATCAAGATTAAACTGAATGTTGTTTCTGATCATAGCGTTTAGTATATGGAAAATTATAAATTGAATTGCTTTTGTCTTTAAAAAACAAAAGCAGCATTATTTAAACAAAACAAACTGTCATTAAAAGAGTTAAAATTCTTAAAGTGAAGATATTTTGTTGTTATCATCATGATTGATGCTGGTGAAGAAATTAGTGTTAATAAATGTGTATAAAAATATTAACATTTTTGCTTTTTTGTCTTCTACAGTATAAAATTTTCACATTTTTAAATTGATCAACAATGGTTAATAGGCAAGTTTTCACTATCCTTTTTCTTCAAATAGGCATGCGGGAACAGCTACATTTACATTTAGTAATTTAGCAGACGCTTTTGTCCAAAACGACTTACAATTAAGGAGATATTCAACAAGAAGAGGCAATACATACAAGAAGTGCTAGTGAATCAAAGTAACTGGTTTGTGCTCAAAGAAATTTTGTGCTAGAGTTGAAACTTTTTTGTTGCTGTTTTGTTGTTGTTGTTGTTTTGAGAGAGAGAGAGAGAGAGTGCTTCTATAGGTGGATTCTGAATGATAATTCAGATTATTTATTTCATAAAGGTTTTGTGTTTGTTGTATACTGTTGCTATTTTCATACTCAAGTTGTGAAGGAACATGTTTAAGGGTTAAATACAAAATTTTATGACGCTGAAGTAACTTTAGGTTTAGCTTTTTGTGTCTGAATATATTAATCAGTTGGTTTATAACTATGTGATTTTTTTGTGCTGGTCTAACTTAAATAAATTAGTGTTTAAAAAATGACTTTTTATTTAAGTTTGTCTTGTGTTTTAGTTGTGAGAATGCAAATAAATGAAAACTGAAGCTGATCAACCGTGTATTCTCCATGCAGCTCTGAAGTGACGTTATACGGGCACTAATAGGAGCATTAAAAATTTTCTTTGTAAAAGTAGCTTAAAAATCACTTTTAACTGTAATGCATTAATTTTTGGTGGTAATCGATAAAGTAATTGAGTTACATTTTAAATGAAGTAACTAGTAACTGTAAGTACTGTAGTTACTATTTTTCAGTAACAAGCACAACACTGCTAGTACATTTTGCTTCAGCTAATGATATGAGTTTTTAATGACATGAGGATAAAACTATTCTTTAAACTGCACAACATCCAAACATTTGAATAAACATATGCTCTTGAGGCACAAAAAATAGGAGAGTGACATCAACTACTTAGGAATGACAGAAATTGGAAGGAGAGTCAAAGTTTATTATTTCAGTCGACGTAAAGCAGCCTCAGTGGGACGGTTTTACTTGGGAGGGAGAATCAGACACTTTTCCCAGCTCTTATTAAACTAGCCCAGTTAGACACAGGCACACACAACTTCCCACAAACACAGTGGCTCAAATAAACAAAGGGATAAACAAGCTATGGGGAGCGTGCACTGTTACCCAGGAGCCAATGGGAAATAAACACAGGCAGTGTCTAATCTGGCTGCTTATAGTGAACAGTAAATAAACAGTCTTCCCCAAGGGCATTGTGGGACTGGACATGTCGACTGCGGCCCACGTGTACGATTCAAACATGATGCATGACCCTTGGGAACAATGACATGCTCAGAGGGAGAAGAGAAAGGCAACCAAGGAACTCAGAATGGATTATTTCCCGTATATCAGTATTAAAGAGTGTCAAAAATGAACAGCGAACAACAGATTTAATGATTTATAAACAGGAAATTAGAACAATGAATTCAGAGAACGATATATAAATATGGTAGTAATTAAATTATAGAATGATACACAGAACAATAGATGAACAAAAGGATAGACAGAAAGGTAGATGAACAGATTGATAGACAAAGCGATAAACAGGACAGAAAGATAGATAGATAAACAGAGTGATAGACAAAAAGATAGATGAACAGAATGATAGATGAACAGAATGATGGGTGAACAATGATAGACAGAATGATGGATGAACAGAATGAAAGACAGAACGATGGATGAACAGAATGATAGACAGAACGATGGGTGAACAGAATGATAGACAAAACGATGGGTGAACAGAATGATGGATAAACAGAATGATAGAAAGATAGATGAACAGAATGATAGACAAAACAATAGATGAACGACATAGACAGAACGATGGATAAACAAAATGACAGACAGAATGACAGACAAAACAATAGATGAACAGAATGATAGACAAAACAATGGATGAACAGGATAGAAAGAATGGCAGATAAACAAAATGACAGACAGAATGACAGACAAAACAATAGATGAACAGAATGATGGACAAAACAATGGATGAACAGGATAGAAAGAATTTCAGATAAACAGAATGATAGACAGAATGATAGATGAACAGAATGATGGAACGATGGATGAACAGGACAAACAGAACAATGGATGAACAGAATGAGGGATGAACAGAATGATGGATGAACAGAATGATAGAAAGATAGATGAACAGAATGATAGACAAAACCATAGATGAACAGGATAGACAGAACGATAGATAAACATAATGATAGATAGATTGATGGATGAAAATTGATGGACAGAACAACGGATGAACAGAATGATAGATAAAACGATGGATAAACAGAACAATAGACAGAAAGATAGATGAACAGAATGATAGACAAAACCATAGATGAACAGGATAGACAGAACGATAGATAAACATAATGATAGATAGATTGATGGATGAAAATTGATGGACAGAACGACGGATGAACAGAATGATAGACAGAAAGATAGATGAACAGAATGATAGAAAAACAATAGATGAACAGGATAGAAAGAATGACAGATAAACAGAATGATAGACAGAAAAGTAAATAAACAGAATAATGGAACGATGGATGAACAGGATAAACAGAACGATGGATGAACAGAATGATGCATCAACAGAAAGATGGATGAACAGTATGATAGACAGAACGATAGATGAACAGTATAGACAGAACAATGGATGAACAGAATGACAGAAATATAGATGAACAGAATGATAGACAGAATGATGGATTAACAGTATGATAGACAGAACGATAGATGAACAGAATATACAGAACAATGGGTGAACAGAATGATAGAAATATAGATGAACAGAATGATAGACAGAACGATGGATAAACAGAATGATAGACAAAACAATAGATGAACAGCATAGAAAGAAACGATAGATTAAGAGAATGATAGACAAAAAGATAGATGAACAGAATAGACAGAAAAACAGATAAACAGAACGATAGACAGAATGATGGATAAACAGAATAATAGATGAACAGAATGATAGACAGAATAATAGATAAATAGAATGATAGATGATCAGAATGATAGACAGAACGATGGATAAACAGAATGATAGATGAACAGAACAATATGGTTGGGTTTTGGCGAAGAGAATAGGTATGGATTACATTTTCGTAAGGTATGGGAATAGGTTTTGATTACAAAAATGATGTTCCAGGATCAACATAAATGTTAATCCAGGATCACATCGTACTTGGCAAAATCATGAAGTGCAAACAATGATAGACAGATGGATAGATGGATAGATGGATGGATGGATGGATGGATGGATGGATGGATGGATGGATGGATGGATGGATGGATGGACGAAGAGGCAAATGGAATGATAGATAGAATAATTGAATGACAGAAAGAATGATAAAATACATAGATACAACAACTGATCCAATAGATAGATAAATCAACAAATAGAATAGAAAAATAGAACGACAGATGGACGGACGGACGGACAGACAGGATGGATGGAAACTGTAGATAGAATGAACAAAAAAAAGATAAATGAATCATCAAAA